GTTGAGCCATGTCATTCAATGGTAAATTGACTAATTTTTTCCTAATCGAGAATTCTAAGCCTGCAGATGCCATTCTGACTAATTCATATTCAGGAATTTGAGTGAAACATCTCGACTTCATTAGTCTAAATCAATTCAAATAATCATCTATGCTTTCATGATTGTATCTTTTTATATTCATCAAATCGATGAGACTTACCTGAGTTTCTCCTCTAAAGAATTGCTCATGAAAATTTCTTTCCAGTTGCAGCCAGTTATATATTGAATTGGGTGGCAACGAAGTAAACCAAGTAAAAGCATTCTTAGTCAAAGAACTAGGGAAATATTTCATCTTTAATTCCTCACTCATCGCTAGGTCCCCACATTCGATTTGATATCGAGCTACATGCTCGATAGTTGATTCACCAACTTCTCCAACAAATTTGGTGAATTTAGGTACTTTGTATCCTCGAGGTAATTCCGTCTCGAGAATCGCATTTGGGAAGGGAGACACAAAGTATGTTTGATTGGGTGGTCTAAATTCCATCCCTTGGAAATTCATCCTCTGTCCTAACATATGATTATACTGCATGTTATTCTGATTGTATATATTTTGAAATCCCTCATTCAGATTCCCACCAATATCATTCCTTACCTGTTGGTATTCATTCCCCATATGCTGATGTTGATCATTGTTTCGATTTCTCCTCAATAGGTACGGGGGATTGATGTTAGCATTCTGGTTAGCATGATTTTCTACCCTTGTTCGTCGAGGTATAGCCAATGCATCCCCGATTCGTGACATTTGGTCTGCTAATATCTCAAAACTAGCAGTAGTGTTTTGAACTAATGGATTTAGGACTGTAGTCAACTGTTGTGATAACATATTCACCATCTCAAAATTGCTCTCATCCATTTGTTGTCTAAGTACTCCTAGTGAGTTGCTGGAGATCCCAGTACTAGTGTTTTCAAAAGTCTCAAAATTAGACCGATGATAATCTCTATCGAATGCATTTCTCCCATGGTCCATATTTGCTCTGTGATCTAGATTTGGAGGTGTCTGTTGTGTACCTAAATTCTGTCCACTTCCTGAATTTTGGGGAATTGCTAAGTTTTGAGATGTCCCTAAATTCGGAGGGACTCCAAAATTTTGCGGCATACCTAGTGTTTGAGGCATTCCTAAGTTATATCTCGAATTCCGCTGTGTTGAAGAAGTTCCAGCCCCACTCATATTATTAAGCGAAAACCCAGGTGGTCTTACACTCATATATGGCCCTACATATGTTGTTGTGGGGTTCCCCACAGTTTGCATATTATTTGGTACCACCGCACTAGATCCTACTTGGGTGTTTGTTAAGGTGCCTGAATTTTGTTCATTACCCACAGGCATCGACATACTCGCAGTTGTCGATGTTACAGGCATATTCCCATTATGACTTTGCCCCCCAGTATTTGGTGAATGTACACCATTTAGACTCTCATTGTTACTCTGATTATTTGCTGAATTTTGACTCATTCTTATAACTCGTCCACTCCTTAATCTCATACACTCTCGAACTAACCAATTTTGTGTTTTTAACACAAGGCTACCCCTACCTGGCGCGCCAATTTGTTTCTGGTGGAATTTTGATCGATTCCGATTCTTAAGAGATTTTGTTCTAACAAAAACTCAACCACGCAAGTTCTTTTTATTTAGGCTAGCAAGTATTTTTTCAATCGAGATGCATATGAGAATCGAAAATATCACAATATCAAGAAAATCCCACTAACGTGTCACGACTTATCGAAAGCACTATTTTTGGTATTTTGTTTTTTGAAATACTCGAAGTAAGGAAAACAGCGAAATGACAAATTGAAAAGCAGGATAGAATATAAAGCTGCGAAGAAATATTAAATTTCAGAGAATGTAAAGTACGAAAACCTCGAAATTGTATTAAGTGTAAATGACATGAAATCAAAAATACAGAAACTTAAATGACAGGAAATCAAAATTACAGAAGTGTAAATGATAAGAAATCAAAATACGCAGAAAAAGTAAATAACTGGAAATCGAATTTGCATCGAAGTTTAAAAGACAGGAAATTTAAATGCAGAAAACTTAACTTCCATTAAACTGAAATTGACTGAAAATCGAAAACACAGAAACTTAAAGTTGCTAAACATAAAATGCATCAAAGTAAATTACCAAGGAAAATAAAGAAAGCGGTAAAGGTCTCAATGAGCACGGAAATCCAGATCACCAGGAACTTCATGATGTTCGTCATTCTCCGGTAGACTTCTCACTAATATTCCGGTTTTCTCTGCCAATTTTCCACGCTCCCTTTTCCTTTCATCCTTCGCCCTATTTATAGAGCATCCTTTAAGCAAGTAACCTCTTAGGAGCAGTTAATGAAAACTGCTACCACGTCTTACGTGCCTGTTGCAGTTTCTTCTTCGGTGTCAAAACTGCACCCACGTTCCCATGATCTTCGACCTCAGCCATGGTTTAAAAACTGCTTTCACGTTCCCATACATGAGGTAACTACTTCTTTGACCTTGGACCTTTGCCATTGCTTGCCATGTTTGATGTACACGTTGATTGTTTCTTTCTTTATAACTTAGCCGGGATTTCGATACATGGGTTAACCTTTCTCCGATGTTGATTTCGGAATCTCGAGAACGTTTGACTTGCCTTTGATTTCTCTTAATCTTAACATTACATAGTTCTGATTTCTCGATTTCATTCACTAACGGATATTAAACATTCATCTTTCGATTCTCGATTCAAATTCTCGCTTATATTGTCAGATGGTCGTCGAACGCATTTTCCAGCTATCTTTCGATTTATCAGTCTTTAACTCAATCAAAAAGAGTTCTCGATTTGCTCCCATTTGTTTCTCGATCCCTTTATCAATTTCCCACTAACACATATGCATGATTATTACAATGTGTGTTGTATTTAAGTATTGTATGAAAGTATGATAATTAATAGCAATTTATTTGATTGAAGGCAATTAAAGTGGTGCATGCACCATCTAAAATAAAGGTAAATTTATCTGGGAGCAAGAGCTTGTGTTTAATATTAGATTTGGTTGGATACTAACCCACTCGTGGATACAAATCATACACTACAATTTATATAGGCCTTGCCAGTTAAACATCAATGCTTGAAACTGATCCCGATCTCGATCTTCCTTCTCCAAGATCCCATTCAATGTTTCGAAACATGAAACAATGCTTACAAAATTATATTTAGATTTGGTTGTTGCAATAACATCCCATGGGAAAGAAAGAAGATAGTGTAACATGCAATCTCAACTACTACAAAATAAGATAAAATAACGTGATTTTAATCATTTATAAAAAAATGAGAATGTGTGAAATGTAAATAATACCATATTTCTATCAAATCCTTGGTGCGTTTTCAATAATATAATTCTGTTTTCTGAATTTGCAGAGTTATGCATGCATTGATTGTTGGAGGGAATCTGCGTGTGTGTGTGTGTGTGTGTTGTATAGTTGATTGTGTATCTTTGAGCATTTTTTGGTTCTCTAACATATGAAGCAGATATTCATGATATCGATGTGACATAATGAATAAAGGTTTGAAATTTGGAGCTTTATGTGTACAACTCATCAATGGCTTAGAAGGAAGGTGTGTGTACATATAAAGTTTATAATAGTGTAAGTAAATATTGGTAATAGGTAGTGGGAAAATGAATAAATAAAAAATTGGGGTGGACGATGAGGATTCGAGAGATCTTGGAAAATTGATTGATATGAATAATAATGCAATCCGAAATCGAAGACGTATGAGAATTAGGGGAAATGGTACTATTGGTACAAATCCTAAATTTGTCGTCTACTCAAACTGACTTCCCATCATTTGAACCTGTCTTCTTTTATGCCAATTTTGTCCTCTGCTTCCCACGTTCATCCATTACCAACTCTTTTCTTTTATAAACATATTATTCATATTTTTATTCTTATTAAAAATTACAATAATAAATAATTTAGACATGTGGTTTCGGAAAAAAATATCTACTACAAAAATATTAACATTTTTAATTTAGTATAAGAAAAAAAAACATCAAATATGTATTAGAATTTATATCAAAAATAGATTAATATTTTTATACGACTTTTGTAAGAATATTTTATGAAATAATTTATATTCGTTGAAGTAGTACATTTTTATTTATAATTAATTAATTAATTATATTTATTTTATACCTTATTTATTTAACAGGGTTTATATCATTTGTGTCTTGTATTTAAAACGGAAGGTAAAACTTTCCATTTGTTGATCGACTGGTTAACAATTTCATCTAAGTTTGATAAATACGAGTTTAAAAATTCAGTTTTTACAAAATTAAATTAAAAAAAATTTAACCTGATTGTTGGTGGTTTAAATGCATCCTAGTTGGTTGTTTTGCTTGAAACTTTGTTTATATCCTGAATGACATAATTAACAAACATTGCCAGCTATTAATTGACAATTGTAAAATACAGTGATAAATATCTGAAGCTGAAGATGAAGACCAATCATCTTAATCTCAATTCTGCACCTAGAGATCATAGTTTCTTGGGATGTTAACTGCACAACTAAAAGACACATGCACTTGACTCTGTTGACTCACAACAGAACCATCCTCGAATAATACTTAAGTTTCAATCCATTAAATAAATTTTTTTCTAATATTTAATTTCCAAACCATTAAATATATATATTTTTTCTAATATTTAAGTTTCAAACCATTAAATAATTTTCTTCCTCTTATATTTGAGTATAGAATATTTGAGTCTACAATGAGTCCTGTAGAGGAGTACTAGTATCACGGTAGCGTTAATTAGGGAGGATGTTATTACAATAATCAAATAAATGATTATGACCCATCATTCATACATCAATTCTAGTGACTTAAAAATATTAGGTGTGGCTGCTTAATTTATAGGGTTTCCACCTTGGCTTTAGTGTAGAGACAGACTAAGCTCACGTTGTTGAATAGTGGATTATAATTGGTAGTTCTCACAACCTCAAATTAATTAAGCTTCTCTCTTTCTGTTAGATTTAATACCAGAGCACTAGGAATCTTGTAAATGGCATGCCTCGTGCATTCCCTTAACCACCACAATACTTTATCAAACGTTTGATTGAGGTTTTCTGCTTCGGTTATGGTCGGTGCCTGAAACCTCACTTCCTGGAACCTTCATCCTCTACATACACTGTGTGCATCAATCTATAGCCAGCACACCAACTCCACTACCTTCCAAAATTTGCAGTTACACTTACCATCACAGCATAAAGATTAAGGGAAAAAGTATTGGTTAGAGTGTAAGTTTAAGCTGACATGCATGCATTAATCAATCGTAATTTTCACTTTTCTTTTTCTTTAGTATGTGTAGATCCAAATAATATTTGTCCAAATCGCTAGAGATTTTTCTTCTTGCCCCTTTGTCTCAAGTTTGATTTTTCATGGAAATTATTTTCGAGAATTAGCAATCATGAAGCTAATAACCAGACAGCACATATATGACTAGCTAAATATAAAATATATATGTATAAAATTGAAACGAAATAAGTTAAAAAAAAAAAGTTATTTATTTATTTATTTTTATAAAATTTGAGAATTTGAAAACACGTATTCTGATCGAATGAAAACATGGGGGCTAGAGATGGTGAGATCTGATCACCGAATTTTGTAGACTGGACGTGTGGTCTGATTTTCACACGCTTTCAACCAAAATTTTATGATCCATTAATTGCTTGATGTTATTTTTCTTCAGTTTATTCATTACAGGCGAAAACCATGTAAGCATATATGAATAATGGACCTCATTAGTTTGATCAACCGTGAGTTGTTTCCATCATTACCAAATTTTTTCTGTGAAAAGAAAAAAAGGCATGCAAATATCTGTCATGAAAGAAAATTTTTGAAGTGATAGAAATATCACATCAAAGTAGTCCCCATGCCCTCCAATTATATATATGAAACAGAAAAGGTCGCTAGCATGGTACGTAAGATGAGCTAATTAATGGTAACTTGGCCCACATTTTAACTAAAGGAAAATAATAATAATAATAATAATCATGTGCATGAAAATAACTAGAGACCGCATTAATAAATAAGTTGAATCATATCATAATTCATTGCCCAGGCTGGATGAAAGAAATATGCCTTCGACCTACACCCTTATATATTTCTTTAAGTTATATACATATAAATGTACAAACACACTAAAACACAATAAGTAAATTTTGTTTGTGATATTCTATTTGTTTAATAAAATTTAGCTGAGATAAGATATTATTGATGCAGTTGTTTGTGATGAATATTGTAAATAGCATACAGATTTGAAGTAATAATATATATGTTTTAGTGTTGAACAAACTTACTCACAAATTTGGTTGAGAAAAGAATATTGGTTTAGAAATGCAAAATCATAACAATTTATGTAGTCTTCTAGTTTTTAAGAACGCACCGCGCGCCGTACGTATTTGAAGAAGATACGTACTTTTTCCAATACAATACGTACTCTTTTAAAACAAGAAAAATACTTTGAAGCCTGAACAATTATGACCTTGAGATTCTGTTGGTAAACATGGTTACCCTTAAACGTGGATTTCATAGATTAAATAGGAAGGGATTAAGAGCCGTAATTATAGCCTTAATTAGCCCTTTAATTTTGGTTTAATATACTTTATTTTTTGTCTCTTTTATCCGTGAACTAGTTTCTCGCCAGGTGCCCATATTTATCTATTTCTTCATAGGCTTTTCGTACAGTTGATCACACTACTTCCCATGGCACCTTCTGGATCTAAATTAATATTATTTGATCAACCAAGGTCTCAGTTTATGGGAAATGATATTTTGTTTCTTCTGTTTATTTAATAGTTCTGTATACGTTGTTACAACAACAGAGAAGTAATAATACTTTAGTATACGTAGAAGCAATGTTTATATTATCTTTACACATTTTACTATATAATTACTATATCCCCTATTGCATGCACACATTTAATGGCTTACCAAATATATGTACATTTATTGTTCTGAATTACTATTTCATTTTCCTCATTCAACGTATTGATAGCAAAAAGGGAAGAACTAAATAGAAAGATTGTACTATAGTTCTCTGTTTTTGCATACTAGACTAGTATATATATTAGTAAATATATGTGTAAAATAATTTAGATGAAAACTCTAATTTTAGTATCTACGTCTATTTTTTAGAAATGAATTTTATCCGATTAAGAGAATTGTCATACTAGTAGGATTCGAAAGCTTAGAATCAGAGACTGATACTCCAACCACTAAACTACTAGGATATTCTAATAATAACTTATACATAAATTATATTTATATACAAATAAAAATGTATATCCATGTAAATATATAAATATAAAATATATAAATACAAATATATTTATATATTTATATGTTGTATGTGAGGGCGCTCTCGAGGATGAAAGTGTGTGTCGAGTGAATTTTCAAAATTTGATGTCAAATTTGTGAGCGGGTCTCTTTATATGGATTATAATTCTTTATTTTATACCATTGTATAAATTAATTATAAAGATTATATTCTATTATTAAATTACAAATTCATATAAAGAGACTCGCTCACAAATTTGACATCAAGTTTTGAAAACCCACTTGACACACACTTTCACTCGAATACGCTCTCACATCCAACATATAAATATATTTGTATTTGTATTTATATATTTTATATTTATATATTTACATGGATATACATTTTTATTTGTATATAAATATAATTTATATATAAGTTATTATCAGAAAATCCTAGTAGTTTAGTGGTTGAAGTATCAGTCTTTAATTCTAAGGAACCGATGTGAAAAAACCGATGTTAAAAGTGATTTCTCTATTAGTGCATCAAAATTATTGTTTTCAAATAGCTAAGTGATCCCATGAAGATGATGAAGGTCAAACCATATATATGCGCATAGTGTTATATGTTTTTGTAAAATATTTCAATTTGGGTAATTCAATTAATGAATATTTTCTGCAGGTTATCAATTCTCCATGCAAATATACCAACCTAGTCAAAACAAAACCGTATGCATATTAATCGCATTTCCTTAAGAAACCAAGATAAAATTGAAAGGTGAAGCAAATAAGAAACCAAGGATTTAATCAATTAATTAGGATCATAACCAAACATTGCAAAGTTTACTACAACAGTCACTATAGTTCTTAATGCAACACATGGTGGCTAGCCACGACCACACACACACAAGTTAATAACATATGCAAGGAAGCCAACCCCACCATGTGAGAGATATTCAAACCCCAAAAATTTGAAGTCACACAAAGGGTAGTTTGGTCAATTTGAATCCACCAAGTTCCATAATTGTTGACTACAACATCATCATCACCCACCATCATTATTAAATTCTCCCTTTGCATTACAAGTATACGGTTGTTGCTATATATACACAACTCCTCCTCCACCTCCTTCCCTTGTTCAAACCATTCTCCAACATTCAAAGCAACACTTGATTTCAGCCAAAGGCTTCAAAGGTATAACCTCTTTCTTCTGATCAGGGTTCAAAGAGAAACCCTAGATCAGTTTTAGTTTCCTAGCTTTTATTCACACATAGAGCGACAATGGGAAATAGCTTAAGGTGCTGTTTGGCTTGTGTTCTTCCATGTGGGGCACTAGACTTGATTCGAATAGTGCATTTGAACGGCTACGTGGAAGAGATTACACGTTCAATCACGGCGGGAGAGGTTCTCAAAGCAAACCCTAACCATGTTCTGAGCAAACCTAGCTCTCAAGGAGTTGTTCGCCGGATTTTGATCCTCTCGCCGGAGACCGAGCTCAAAAGGGGCAGCATCTACTTCTTGATCCCGGAATCTTCGCTGCCGGAGAAGAAACGACATGCCGGAAAAGGAAGCACTGATGGTGACAGTGATATGAAAAATAAAGCATCAACAAGGAAGATCTACAAGGGTGATAGTAACGATTTTTCCTCACTTTCACTCAAAGTCTCTCACAAAGAGAAAAAATCATCGCATCGTGATCGTCGAAAAGGTCGCATCGGAATATGGAAACCTCATCTAGAGAGTATATCCGAGGACTAATCCATTTTTGTCTTGTCGATCGGTTGCAGAATCCGACAAGGCCGGAAAAAAATGTTGAATTATTGAAACATATAGGAACATAAACTTTTTTCTTTCCCTTGTTTTATAAATGTATGTGGGAATTTGATTTTGTGGATAAAAGAGATTACCTTGCTTTCAAATTGTTGTGCTGAGATGAGTTTGACCAAACCTTTTTAATTTGTTTGTCCAACAATAAGGTATAAAAAGAAGGAAAAATGAAGTTACCAAGAGTGAAGAATTCAAGATTGTACCAACCGATTTTCAACCTCAATTTCATGCAATTAATATCGTCCTTTTGTTTATTTATGTTTGCTGATACATATATATATATATATATATATATATATATATATATATATATATATATATATATATATATATATATATGAGTGAAATAAAAATGTGTGTTTAACTTCAATTTGTACTTCACAATTGAAAACCCTGCCAAACTTATCTATTTGTCTTAAATGGCTTGTCGAAAAGAAACTTGTAATGTAAGAAGCAGACTAGTTGTGGCATCCAACAAATGATCTAAAATGGTTTTGAATGATAGTCCATTTCCAACGATTAAGCCAAGTCTAATTTTCGATAATTAAGTGGAACATGCATGTTAGGCAAATATGTCTACTTAAGGAATTTCTCTATACATTATAGAAAAAGAAACTGAAAAAAAGAGGTCTTAAGTTGACATTATCATAATTTCAATTATATATTACCAATATTGTTTGTTGGTCTATAGAGTTAGTATTCACATTCCAAGTATTAATTAAGGCCATGAACAGCTGTAACTATATTCTTGCAACTATCTAAGTACCAATAATTAGAAAACATACAAGTGTTTTTGGTTCTTGTCTAGAAATCAAAGTAAAACATAAACATAAAATACCAAATTAGGTATTTTTTTAAGGCAATGGAGAGGGAATTTCGGATAACAACCTTATTAATTTTTAGCAAAAGTACGTTTGAATGGATGATTGCAAGTCCTCTCCTCCCCAACCTAACTTTTTTAAAAACATTTTTCCTTTTTCTCAACACTTTATGGGTTAATCTTGCAATGCGAGGGGAGGGAGGATATTTAGTTATGAATGATGAGGAAGTTAACATTTGGCATGGAATTAAAAAGAAAGAATAGGAAGAAGACATTATGAGGTGGGGCTTGGTGAGTGTATGAGGAATTAATATGGCCACATATATAACACATAGTCCATGATTTGAAAACTAGAGAAAACGTGGGTAGCTTATCTTGTTGTCTTGCAAAGACATATAGTTCTCAAATAGCGACATCTTCACGCTACATTCATAAACAAACAAAAGCAAACAAGCTGGCATATACATCTTCCTTAACTAAATGTTTTTCTATTAATTACTCACTTCTTCACATGGATTCCCCTCTCCTCTCTCCCATGTTAACAATACTATATATACTAACTAGACAATTCTTTGCACATCCCTTTCTCAGTCCAACTCATCCATATATATAATATACTAATTTCTTTGGATCATATACCTACTTTGGCTTCACTCCACCACAGATCGATCCACATATGTTTTTGTGAACTTTAAACCGAAGTTAACTGATTCTTTCTTGTTACTTTACTTTTTTCGAAATCAAATAGTTTCATTTAAAATTTCATTTTAACCACTAAAGTATGGGATTTATTGGAAGCCCTTTTTACAATGGAAAAGGGTCATGGATTTGAATAATGAATTGCATAGGTGAAGTTAGTGAACCTTTTCGAAGCCATATCGTTCACACCCATCACCACCTTCCTTTCATCGTTTTGCTTAGCACAATCTAACAATAACCAGACAAAAAAGGAAAGAATTTGGACCTTATTGTGCAAAACTAGATTAATTATAGTCGAAAGACTTCCTGTCTCGCCTTCGATGGTATTTTGCAATCCTAGTATTACCTATGTTGCCTAAATAATTTGACCTTTGCCCTTAGACTTTGAAGATGCACCTTCTTCCCATATTAATGAAGAATTCGGACTTGTTTCTCCAATTCGGATAAGTTTAGGTAAGATAGAAAGAGGATGGGAGAAAAAGGAAGAGAGTTGTCTCGAGGAATGGAAAGAGAGAGAAAAGTTAAAAAAGATGATAGATGTCACAAATTATTTTTCACTCAAAAATTAAAGAAATGTACAAACGTTATCATTTGTTGTAAATAACTTGGATTGAATTAGTTTGACTCATCAGAATTTAGTGGGAAGATTGGGTCGAATTTGAAGTTCGAATTAAAGATATAATTATAATTTGGATCATTTCATTTGATCCGATTGGATTAGTTGATTAATTTTTTGTGATATGCTGAGTTATTGTTTATGAAATTTGTACTGTTATTAAAAAATATTTTAAAATTTGTTATATATCACTACAAGAAAAAACGCTATTAGCGATCGAAATGGTTGGTCGCAAAAGGGTAAGTCGCTAATTTGTTAGCGATCGATTTACATTTCGAGTCGCTAAAGTGGTCGCTAAATAATTTGGTCACTTATGAATTGAAGACCAAAATAGTGACCGAAAATAATATAATAAATCGATCGCTAAATCGGTCGCTAAATCCAGTGGTAAAGTTTTAAAGAATAGCGACCGATATATTCGGTCGCTAATATATTAATATAATTATTTAAATAATAATTAAAATCGATCGCTAAATCGGTCGCTAAAATGGAGACAAAGTTAAAAATAATAGCGATCGAATATAATCGGTCGCTAATATATTAATTGAATTATTTAAATAATAATTTAAATCGGTCGCTAAATCGGTCGCTAAATTTGAATTGTATATTATAATAAATTTGTAGCGACCAAAAATTCGATCGCTAATCTAACCAAATCTGAAAATTTTCGTTTAAAATTTTGTATATCCAATTTGACAAAATTTGTACCGCTTAATTCATCCAAACATAACACAAATGAAAACTTAAGAACTAAAGTCAAATTTTGTATATCCAATTTTACAAAATTTGTACGTGCTTAATTCATCCAAACATAACACAAATGAAACTTAAGAACTTAACAATTACTCAAGATTCAAAGTCTTAATATCATAAAATTGAAAATTAGTCCTCTGGTATATTGTCGGTGTCATATTGACTTGTAGTAGGAATTTTATGAAGGAAGCCAAGATCTATTAATTATTCTATTATAATAATAATCCTAATTAATAATTGAAGGTCATTCTTTGAGGAAGCCAAGATCTGTCTGATTCTGGATCAATGAAGGTGTGACTCAGAAACTGCTCAACTCCTTCATTCTTCAATTCTCTGGCTCATTTCACTCTTTGGGATGGACAGAAACCCGGTCCAGAACACCTGCACTCTTATCAAATTACTCCAAACTTGTTCAACTCAATAAACAACAATTTTATACACTTTAGACCCTCTTTCACTTTGATGTTTTTATGAAATTATCAACAATTTTGCTGTCAAATCCATTGATTTGATGAGTATAAGAAGGCCTTGGTGATGATAACAATACTACAGAATGGAGTTAGAAATGATTGCCTGTATTCATAAAAGCAAGAAGTTCTTTCATTCTCAACTTTGCCCCAATTATTCCACCCTGCAGGCTTTATACATTGATGCATGAAAGTGAATGCAAAAACCACTCTTGCAAAAGGTCTCCATGGTCTTCCCAGATATGCATATGAAGTTCCCCCATTACCTGTGACAACACATCTGCAATGACACCACAAACAAAACATCATGTAAGGAACCAAAATGTTCACAACATAATAAAAGTACTTTACTTGTGTAGTATCCTTTCTTGGACTCGGAAGTTTAACAGATTAACACACCAAAGAAACATTGTAAAGGGAGAGGAGCAAAATATTGACAAGGAAGCATAGAGTAGTATGAGATTCAAAGATTTTTATTCTAAGATTTCTTACAGGATTCCTGAATTCATTGAATTTTCAAGGGATCATTTCCCTAGCTTCAAGAGAATATGGTTCTTGTTTTAACGTAGAATGTTTTTTTCTAATTAAATACTCCTAAATCCGTGTTAGCCATGCTTCTAAACATTTACAAACCAAACTGCAAAACTTAAAAGCAAGATCATCTTCAAAACCAGCATTCTCTCATTATCTTAATCAGTTTTCATAAACATGACTCAGTCATGATGATAAACTTCAACCTAGGTACTTACTTGATTTCACATCAGAAGAACTAAGAGAGAACATATTTTGCCTTGGAATTGGAAAACAAAGTAAGAGTCACTAACACTGTTGTATTGTAGGGGAAACAAGATGATTGAGAAATGTCTCTTTCCTTGTTAAACAAGTTACAATGACTAAAAAAAAAATATTATGTGGGAAGATGATGTTGTAAGTATTAGGCATGATCACACACCTCAGGAATACATAACCAGTTTTTTCCTGTGGAGAGTTTATGCTCTGTGTAGTTATAAACCCTGCGGACTTGCAATGGATGTGACAATGTTCCAAGAGTGCAGTACTATTACCAAAAATGAAGTCCACACTCCCTTCAATGTAACAATCTTTCAAGTATTGCTTTTCATAATGTAAGTACAGTGTGTCCTGTACTAATCACAAAATAAGTTTATTTATCACCTTGGTACCTCAGATTTTCCTCAAATGAAACAGAAGGATAATGGTGTACAAAACCATCTAGCCTAACAATCATGGCCTCTTGTTAATTGAAGATCTTATTATGTTTACGCAACACACACTATAAAGGATACATCATGCACACATAACTTTCTAAAATCAAACTCAGAATAAAAATATGAAGACAGTGAAGCACCTACCACCCAAGGAACCTGCAATTATAGAAAGCACAACGATCTGCTGTTACTCTGAGTGTCACTGCCTGCCCTGCACCCTGCTAGGTAAAAGAGGGAAACAAAAGAACAGTGTGCACAAGGTCTCTGCTAAAATTCCTTCATATTTTAAACATAACAATGGTGTTCATATTTTAAACAAAACAAAACAAGTTCCCAAATTGGTCTGTCAA